GATTGTATCTAGGGATAGAGCTTGACCCATTAGTAGTCTTAAACCCTAGCCCGTAATGCGGGTGTAGGTATTGGGTACTCAAGGGATTGATATTCAATATCCGCACCTAGGCTCTTTCTCTAAGGGATTAGGTTTGAGTAAACTTATGGGTTGACTAAGCAATGAATTCAACAAGAGATTAAGGATACATTAGTGTTACGTTTGGTGAAATCTGACCCCCACAACCTCACAATACCACAATACCATTCCTTACCTTTTCCACTCACAAAACAATATTTATTTACAGCTTTCATTCCAATAGTCACAACTTTGCATTCACTGCACAAACTATGAAATTGGAATTATTCTTTAGTCACGAATAGTCAATAAATGCTTATATTACCTTCTAATCCCTGTGGATACGATATTTTTACTACTTGAACGGCCGGTATACTTGCCGTGTTTGAGACCGTTGATAGAATTAAACAAATTTACAAATATTAACAAAAGTGTTTTAACGGAATTCTCAACATTCTCCCCATGCCTGGCGTGATTCACTCAAGGATTCCCATTTCAAATCACGCCCGACGCAACTAGCTTTGCGCCCGGCGTGAAAAGACAATGGTGGCCTCTAATGAACACACGCCCGATGCCAAGAACTGTGCCCGGTGCAATTTCAAACAGCAACCCTCATAACTTCGAAAATTTCAAACAAAACCTGCAAATCAGCCAGCTCAAACACATACAATCCATGAAATGAACTACATTTACAGAATACAACTAAAAAATCATCACTTTTTCAACATGAAACCATCAAACGCATAAAAATCCCCATTTTCCCCCATTTTCCCGAAAACGAGCAACTCTTCAATCCAACCATCAATCTCCTGAACTCAAGCATTAAATGAGTCTCTAAACTCATTTACAACCAATCCCCAGAAAAAAAAAAAAAAAAAAAACTAACTTCCCTTACCTCAGAGAAGAAGAATTCGAGCTCCCGGGGAAGATGAAGAGAAGAAGAGAAAAATCCGACTCTCAGCTAGCTCCGTACCCTCTATTCAGCACCTTCAACCACAAAAATCACCACAAAGAAGTTTGAGAAAAGGAAAAGGGAATGAGAGTGAATGGAGAAAGGGAAAATGAGGAGTGTTGAGAGGGAGGGTGAAGAAGGAGGGAGCACGTCTCACAGATTTGAACTCAAATAAAAAAATATATTACCACATGTATATATTCAAGATTAAGTGTTGAGACAACGACTCATACACAAAAGAATATAATTAAATTTAATGTAAAAATATTAATATAAAGATATTAAAAATAAAAGTTGAGGTGAGAGAATTTGGTATTTAGAAGAAGAATTTAATTATAAATTAGAATGTAGAAATTATTAATATTTATATAAATATTTTAAAAGTTATATAAAAGGTGTCACATTAAATGAAAAAATAATGGAAGATTTTAGTGACCTTGAGTGGGGACGCTTGATTAATGTATCGATGGGGATCTACTACTATGTATAGGCAATAGTTTCATGATCTTTGGTTGAAGCCAACATCAGCCACAAACCCGAATAATGTTTCTCTTGTTCTCCTTTCACAATCACCCGACATTAAAAAAAATTGAAATAACTAGAAAATAATAATTATTGTAACAGAGAGTGAATTAACTATTTTTTTAATGGACAGAAAATAAATTACCTTGGTGAAGAAATGAATTATATGATATAATATGAGGCTACTTGGGAGGTGGAGCAGCAGTGTAGGGAGCGGTATCCGTTTCTTTTCCCAAGTAAGTCTATTTTCGGGGACGAAAACTCTTGTTGTTGGGGAGGTTGTGAGACCCCATTCCTTCCGCAAGTCCCTTCCACCCTTATTCTCTTTTTCTTTGACTTCCCATTTGCTCTCCTTACCTTCTTCCCTTTTTCTTGATATCTCAAGGTAGCTGTGCTGAGTGAGCTTGGATTTTGCTAGCTGATTTTCGGAGTTCTCTCTTGCTCTTCCCTGTTCGTTCAAGCTCTCTTTCGTCTTTCTCTTCCGTTCTTCTCGTCCCGGAGCTCGGATTTCTTCACCGAGGTAAGGGAAGCTAGTCCTTTGCTTTGTTTGGCCGAAAATGAGTTCTAAGAACTCTTTGATGGTAGCTGTAAATTGTAATAATTAGAGCCTATTAGTTATTATCACATTGTAAAGGCAATGTAGTAAATTGTGATTTGCATCCAAAATATTGATGACAAATTGTCAATAATATGAAAGAAAACGAACACCAAATAGGCTATTTTTTGAATTTACTAGTATTGTTGAACCAAAGCAGAAGAGAATCATCTCAAAGGATGCCTATTATTTGGTTTATTTTATTTTGATAAAACAATAATTGTTATAAAAAAAAAAGACTAAAAGCACAGAAAAAACAATCTTGAGAAGGAGCAGGGGAATAAAACAATATTTAAGATTAAATTCTTGTGGTTTAAAAGAATGATAAATAACAAAACTGCTCGTAGAAAAGTACAACATTATAGGAATGTGTTGGATCTTACATGACTCACCCTCCTGGTACCAGCATAGAGGAGTCCTACATCTTCTGCCATACAAGGCTTCATATGGTGCCATCCCAATGCTAGCATGAAAGTTGTTGTTATAAGTGAACTCCACCAGTGGTAGGACCTCCTCCCAGCTACCCAAGTGGTCCAACACACAGGCCCTCAGCAGATCCTCCAAGGACTGGATTGTCCTCTCTGACTGACCATCCGTCTGTGGATGATAAGCAGAACTCAGCTTCAGTTTCGTGCCTAGGGCCTCATGTAGACTCTGCCAAAATCGGGAAGTGAACCTCGGATCTCGGTCGGAGATAATACTAGAAGGCACCCCGTGCAACCGTACTATCTCCTTTACATACAACTGCGTCAGCTTCTCCAAGGACCACTTGATGTTGACAGGCAAGAAATTCGCACACTTGGTCAACCGATCAACAATCACCCAGATAGCATCACTATTCCTAGCTGACTTAGGAAATCCCACAATAAAATCCATAGTAATGCTATCCCATTTCCACTCGGGAATCTCAATCTGTTGCATCAACCCACTCGGCTTCTGATGCTCAACCTTTGCCTTCTGACAGGTTAGACAGGCCGCCACATACTCAGCTATCTCCCTCTTCATACTAGACCACCAGAAATTCTTCTTGAGGTCTTGGTACATCTTAGTCATACACGGGTGTATGCTAAGTCTACTCGTGTGGCCTTCTTCCAATACAGCTCTCCTCAACTCAGCATCCTGAGGTAAGCAAATCCTGCCTCTGAACCTCAAGATCCCATCTTCTCCCAGTTCAAAACCAGCAGCTTTCTTGGTACCCAGCAAACCAAGAAGTCTCACCAACCCCTCATCTTGCAACTACTTGAGTCCAACCTGCCTCAAGAACTCATTAGTTATGGTAACTGCCCCACAACTAATGTGATCCTGAGCTAACTCTACATAGAGATTCAAATCTCTGAACTCCTCAACCAGTTCTAGCTCTCTAAGCATCATACTCGACATGTGGATGGATTTCCTACTCAGCGCATCTGCCACCACATTGGCCTTGCCCGGATGATACATCAACTGAAAATCATAATCCTTCAGAAACTCCATCCACCGCCTCTGCCTCATGTTCAGCTCTTCTGGTAGAGTATTTGCCTTGACAGGTGCTGAGGCTTCGACTTCTTCTGATCTTGTGAAGGGGAAAGGCAAAGCTGCTGGTAAGGATGTGATGATTCTCTTTGACTCTGGTGCTTCCCATTCTTTTATATCCTATGCATGTGCTGCTGTGTTGGGTGTACCTGTGTGTGATTTGGGGTTGAGACTGCTAGTGTCTACGCCTGCTTCTGCTTCTCTGATTGCTTCTGAATTGTGTGTGGGTTGCCCGATTGTGGTGAATGAGAAGAAGTACAAGGTGAACCTGATTTGTTTACCTTTGGTGGATATTGACATAATCTTGGGAATGGATTGGTTGTCTGCCAATCACATTCTAATAGATTGTGCCAATAGACGGTTGATCTTTCCTTAGGAGGAGGATGAGCTGTTGATCTCGGCTGGCCAGGCTGAGTCATTATTGAAAGATGGAGCAGAGTGTTATCTTCTGCTTGCTGCTATGAGTGTGGAAACCAAGAGGGTCTTAGCTGATATTGATGTGGTGAGGGAGTATGCCGAGGTGTTCCCTGATGAGGTGCCTGGGGTGCCTCCTGTTAGGAAGATGGAGTTCAGCATTGACTTGGTTCCTGGTGCGGGACCAGTGTTAGTAGCTCCCTATAGGATGGCTCCTGCTGAGCTGGTTGAGCTGAAGGGTCAGTTGGAGGACTTGTTGGAAAAGCAGTTGGTGCGGCCGAGTGTTTCGCCGTGGGGTGCTCCTGTGTTGATGGTAAAGAAGAAGGATGGGGGTAGTCGACTGTGTGTTGATTACCGACAGCTGAACAAATTGACCATTAAGAACAAATATCCACTTCCCCAGATAGATGACTTAATGGATCAACTGAGGGGTGCGTCGATGTTTTCTAAGATTGACTTGAGGTCAGGATATCACCAGATTAGGGTGAAGGAGGGTGACATACCGAATACTGCTTTCAGGACTAGGTATGGTCACTATGAATATGTTGTGATGCCGTTCGGTGTGACCAACGCCCCCGCAGTGTTCATGGACTACATGAATAGGATCTTCCGGTCATTTTTGGATAAATTCGTGGTAGTATTTATTGATGATATATTGATTTATTCAAGGACCCCTGAGGAGCATGGAGAGCACTTGAGGACAATATTAGAGATTTTGAAGGCAAAGCAGCTGTATGCTAAGCTTTCAAAATGTGAGTTCTGGTTGGGTGAGGTAAAGTTCTTGGGCCATGTGATTTCAGCTGAGGGGATTGCTGTTGATCCGGCTAAGGTGGAGTCGGTGTTGCAGTGGGAGCGCCCGAGGACTGTCATGGATATTCGAAGCTTTGTCGGCTTAGCGGGTTACTATCGGAGGTTCATTGAAAGATTCTCTAAGATAGTAGCGCCTCTGACCTAGCTGACCAGGAAGGAGCAGCCATTCATTTGGACTGATACCTGTGAGCAGAGTTTTGTTGAGCTAAAGAGGAGGTTAACTACTTCTCCTTTACTGGTGTTGCCGGATTCTGGTGAGCCTTTTGACGTGTACTGTGATGCCTCTCATCAGGGTCTGGGGTGTGTGCTGATGCAAAACAAGAGAGTGGTGGCATATGCTTCAAGGCAACTGAAGACTCATAAGAGGAACTATCCCACTCATGACTTGGAGTTAGCAGCTGTGGTGTTTGCCTTGAAGATCTGGAGGCATTACTTATATGGTGCCCGGTTCAGCGTCTTCAGTGATCACAAGAGTCTGAAGTACTTGTTTGATCAGAAGGAGCTGAACATGAGGCAGAGGCGGTGGATGGAGTTTCTGAAGGATTATGATTTTCAGTTGATGTATCATCCGGGCATGGCCAATGTGGTGGCAGATGCGCTGAGTAGGAAATCCATCCACATGTCGAGTATGATGCTTAGAGAGCTAGAACTGGTTGAGGAGTTCAGAGATTTGAATCTCTATGTAGAGTTAGCTCAGGATCACATTAGTTGTGGGGCAGTTACCATAACTAATGAGTTCTTGAGGCAGGTTGGACTCAAGTAGTTGCAAGATGAGGGGTTGGTGAGACTTCTTGGTTTGCTGGGTACCAAGAAAGCTGCTGGTTTTGAACTGGGAGAAGATGGGATCTTGAGGTTCAGAGGCAGGATTTGCTTACCTCAGGATGCTGAGTTGAGGAGAGCTGTATTGGAAGAAGGCCACACGAGTAGACTTAGCATACACCCGTGTATGACTAAGATGTACCAAGACCTCAAGAAGAATTTCTGGTGGTCTAGTATGAAGAGGGAGATAGCTGAGTATGTGGCGGCCTGTCTAACCTGTCAGAAGGCAAAGGTTGAGCATCAGAAGCCGAGTGGGTTGATGCAACAGATTGAGATTCCCGAGTGGAAATGGGATAGCATTACTATGGATTTTATTGTGGGATTTCCTAAGTCAGCTAGGAATAGTGATGCTATCTGGGTGATTGTTGATCGGTTGACCAAGTGTGCGAATTTCTTGCCTGTCAACATCAAGTGGTCCTTGGAGAAGCTGACGCAGTTGTATGTAAAGGAGATAGTACGGTTGCACGGGGTGCCTTCTAGTATTATCTCCGACCGAGATCCGAGGTTCACTTCCCGATTTTGGCAGAGTCTACATGAGGCCCTAGGCACGAAACTGAAGCTGAGTTCTGCTTATCATCCACAGACGGATGGTCAGTCAGAGAGGACAATCCAGTCCTTGGAGGATCTGCTGAGGGCCTGTGTGTTGGACCACTTGGGTAGCTGGGAGGAGGTCCTACCACTGGTGGAGTTCACTTATAACAACAACTTTCATGCTAGCATTGGGATGGCACCATATGAAGCCTTGTATGGCAGAAGATGTAGGACTCCTCTATGCTGGTACCAGGAGGGTGAGTCAGTGGTTGTGGGACCGGAGTTGATCCTACAGACTACTGAGAAGGTGAAGATGATCCAAGAGAAGATGAAGACTGCTCAGAGTAGGCAAAAATCTTATGCTGACAAGAGGTGTAAGCCTTTGGAGTTTGCCAAAGGAGAACATGTGTTCCTGAAGGTGACTCTGACCTCTGGTGTGGGTGGAGCGCTGAGGGCACGGAAGTTAACACCGAGGTTCGTGGGTCCTTATCAGATAATACAACGTGTGGGTCCGGTTGTTTATCGGTTGGCTTTGCCACCGTCTCTTTCAAACCTACACGATGTATTTCATGTGTCTCAGCTGAGGAAGTATATTCATGACCCTAGTCATGTGGTGGAGCTGGACGATGTACAGGTGAAGGAGAACCTGACCTTTGAGAAGTTGCCGGTAGCTGTGGTTGATCATAAGCTGAAGGAGCTGAGGGGCAAGTCCATTTCTCTGATAAAGGTGTTGTGGGATGCAACTACTAGAGAGGCTACTTGGGAGGTGGAGCAGCAGTGTAGGGAGCGGTATCCGTTTCTTTTCCCAAGTAAGTCTATTTTCGGGGACGAAAACTCTTGTTGTTGGGGAGGTTGTGAGACCCCATTCCTTCCGCAAGTCCCTTCCACCCTTATTCTCTTTTTCTTTGACTTCCCATTTGCTCTCCTTACCTTCTTCCCTTTTTCTTGATATCTCAAGGTAGCTGTGCTGAGTGAGCTTGGATTTTGCTAGCTGATTTTCGGAGTTCTCTCTTGCTCTTCCCTGTTCGTTCAAGCTCTCTTTCGTCTTTCTCTTCCGTTCTTCTCGTCCCGGAGCTCGGATTTCTTCACCGAGGTAAGGGAAGCTAGTCCTTTGCTTTGTTTGGCCGAAAATGAGTTCTAAGAACTCTTTGATGGTAGGGTGTTTGCTGCATTTGAGCTGAGAACAGTTAAAATTGCTGATTTGGGGGCCTTTCGGGTTTTTGGGGGTTTTGAGAATATTTGGGATTTTGGAGCGGAGGGTTGAATTAGAAGAAAATGAGGCCCCAGAGTTTCAGAATGTATTACACAAGCGCCGGTGGGACAAGCTTGGATCCTACCCACTCCCGGCCAACATAGCACTAGTTAAGGAA